TGTAGGGCTTTGGGTTTTATAGGATACGGGTGCGAGTGTAGGGCTTTGGGTTTTATAGGTTACGGGTGCGAGTGTAGGGCTTTGGGTTTTATAGGTTACGGGTGCGAGTGTAGGGCTTTGGGTTTTAGGTTACGGGTGCGAGTGGGGTTTGTTTCGGTTTATTGAATATATGTGATTTGGTGAGAATCAACTGCAGCTTGAGTCGCTTCAAGTGTGAGGAACCATGAGTTGTGGATTGGTCAGGCCCCAAGGCTAGATCTTCGGCACCTTCACCCCCACTCTCGGTATGATAGTAGGCCAGAAGGCAGCAGTCGGAAGCAGTGATTGAGCCTTCGGTGTATCTTTCTAGAAGAAAGCTTCTAAACTTAGCACCAGCAGCGGCTGAAGCAGCTTTCTCATCTTCACCAACCCACGAATCCTCAAGCCCATAGCCAGAACCCGAAAGCTGTGCCCGTGCTCGTTTGAGAGACATCCAGCCGAGGGCGTGCGATCATCAGCAGCTGCGACAGGAGCTGCGAAGATCAGTGCAAACGGTGGGCTTGGGAGTTCAGGGCTTTCAAAAAGTCGGGGTCGGGATTGGGGATTTCGGTGGAGGGTTTCTGTTCCTGGTTTGACGATACAATCTGAACTCGATCATTGGGATAGTTGCAGCAGCCCTGTCTGTAAAGTGCATAAAGTGTACGACTTCATAGCAACAGCTACCACTCGGATCTTCGGCCCGACACCCTGCGGCGGCCCCCAAACTCTGTTCTAATGATACACTGCACTGGCTTGACTGCACGGGTCGGGAGACATGTTGGCACACACACAGATTATTGCATCAATCACTGCCATGCACAACACATGGACCTGTGGGTGCAACTTGCAACAGCTCGCGTGAACACATCTCGCCATGGATTCGTGCAGAAACTTGAAACGGAGAGTACATCTCTTTTTTCCGACACAAGAAGCTCCGAGCGGCATTGAGGTTTCCGCTGGCTTGTTGCCAAGCTCCCCAAAAGTCCCCAGCAAACTCCGAATTATCGTTAGATAATATATGGAGAACCCAGCAGGCAGCAATGTTCGATCACAGGCCGTCTTTCGCTTTCCAACAGCTCACAGAACCTTCGCCTTTATAGTGATAGCCCTACCCTTTAAGCCTGAAGCCTCGCCCCTAATAACCTTAGATATAGAATCAGCAGACCACTGGGCCGAAGCTCCCGACACAGGCGGGTTGAGACTAACAAAGCTCGCGTACTAGGGTTATAGGAATCTAAGCGGAATCTAGCATAGCTGGGGGTGCGAAATCTATCAGGACCACGATGTATATTGTGTCGGAGCAAGAGGATCGACCCAGCGGCTCGGCTCGAAAGATCGGGGGATTCTGGGCTCGGGGTTTAGGGTTCTTTGTTCAGGGTATCGAGTATCGGGGGCCCACTCCATTCGGAAGCTTAGAACCTGAAGCTAAGACCTGAAGCCGAACACAACCGAAAGCTTAAACCTTAACCCCTATTAACCCAAATAGCCCCTGGACCCTAAGCCTAAACCTTAGACCCCAACTAAGCTCTAGCGAGGCTCCAGGCTTCACCATAAGGCTGCGGCCGAACAGCTGCATTGCACCCTTGCCACAAACTGGCGAAGCCTACACAGACGGCAAAGACTTACTCGAAGCAGAGCGTCTCAACCCATTCTTGCCCTTTGCCTTAGCCTTCGGCTTAGCAGCAGAGCTCTTCATATTTTCAGTGGCTTGAAGCTTAGCACTTGCCATCTTCTCAATCGCAAAGGCAGCCTCGGCCATCTTCTGAATCTGCGGCCCGGCCAAAGTGATGAACTCCACCAGCTTGCCTACGTAGCTGTCGCCGAGATCCTTCTTCAGCTGGGCACTCGCCCGGCTGCTGAGGGCTGCAACCTTGAGGGATTGGAATCCCTCATCACAGTACAGTTTGAGAACCTCTGTGCGATACTTTTTGTAGGTGGCGATCAGGTCCGTAGCCCAAGTCCATCCATCTGGGTTTTTTGACATTTCAGCCATCACACGGCCGATTGCCACATCCGAGCTTTGCTCCATAGCCAGGAACTCTTTCACCTCCTTCTCCTTCTTGGGGCCCGTCTGGTCCTTCTTGCTCTTTTTGGGATTTGGTTCAGTAGGATCGGGGGCGTGGTCCTGGCCAGGCTCGCTGCCGGCACCCTGCTGATCGCCGGCTTGCTTCCTGGCCCTCTTAGCTTTGCCATCTGCAACAGCAGCATTTCCCGTCTTGGTGAAGCTCGGGTTGTTGCTGCCATCCATCTTGGGGAAGCTAGCGTGGATGTCCTGGGGCATGTTCGCATAAAGCTCGGCATAGCCCTTGATACCCAAGCTGCTCTTAGCGACCTCCTCCACTTTCACCGATGCAAGGGGCTTCTTCATCGCATGAGCATAGGCACGGGTGGCTTTGCACACAACCACTTTCTCTGCTAAGCTGTCGGCCACAGAGTCCGTAGCCTCAACTGTGACGATGTTGGCCCACTGCTGCTCGCTGCTGGAGCTGACGAGGGTCTCTACCCAAAAGTAGGTCTGGGTATCCAGCCAGTCGTTGTACAGGGTGCAGTAGTCCTGCATTCAAGACAAACACCAGGGCCCCAGTATATGAAACCACAGAACCACGAACCCGACCAACCCCTAACCCTAGCCCTCAAAAATTCTAAAAGGCTTCTAGCTTCAGGCTTAAAGCTGAAGGTTGAAAGTTAGGCTAGAGGTTTATATAATATAGGGTTTAGGGTTTAGGGTTTAGGGTCCGGGGTTCAGTACAAGTTTGGGGCAGTGGTTCAATTAGGGCTTGGGGCGTGGAACCACGAAGTTGAGAAACACTCGTCCTTGAGCCCGGGTCGCTCGCACATAGCCATGTAGCGCTCT